ACGAGGAAAAGTCGTCTTCACAAGGTTACTGGCGAAATATGCAGTTAAATCTGCTTCATTACTTTTGATTGAGACATATTTCGACCATTCAAATGGTCATCATCAGTCATAGTACTAATAAAGTTGATCTACGCAGAGAAATTGTTCTTACTCAACATCTAGCGAAAATGGTTATACACTGATGAGTGGAAAATGACACTAATTTATATAATGCCAAAATGAAATTATTATAACTATGGTTAAGTGTAGAATTGATTGAGAATTTGAGAATAATAGTTATACAATAATTTCATTTTATTCGTTTCCGATATTTTACTTCACATTATCAGTTTTGGCATCATAGATTAACTTTATTAGTATACTATGACTGATGATCGTGTCTCAATCAAAAGTAATGAAGCAGAAATAACTGCACATTTCGAGTTTTTTCTTGTTGATCATCCTCCTTCACTTCGAGTATGGACTACTTCAGAAGATATGTTATTATTATTCAACAAGATAGTTCAATGCAGTATTATTGATCGAATATAATTTGTCATTTTTTGAGAACAATATTTTGTTATATCCAGTATATACATATTATATTTTGATATTCCAACCTATTCACTCTAAAGGCAATATTATCTCAGACTCCACACTTAATCGTTAATTATGGGTCAGCAATATGTTGGTCTTTTAACGAGTTCAAACGATGAGTTGCAGCCGAGGACAAAAACTACTAATTTTCGCAATACAGATTCGAAAATTTTATTGCCGACACACCCACTTCTGTATTACCCATTTATTTTTTGTTGAAGCCAACTTCGGTTCAATCATCTTAGGGCGGCTGCCTAATTACCGTTATTACCATAAATGATAATTAAAACTGAGGGTACTTGTGCAATTTTCTAAAGCAGAACCTTATACAGTGCTTTCGTAAAGTAGCTACCTACCAGGTGAACTGAACTATACATTTTTGAGGAATCACCTGAAACAGGTCGTCTTTCAATCTGAATTTTCCAAATTTATAAGGGAAAATTAAATATATACTGGGTCATCCACGTTTGCGTAACGTATACATTTAGTGTTCTCCTAAAAGAGGGGTTGGCATTGAACAAAATTATAGATGACGTCCTTTCTCCAACACGAATCATTTTGTATGTGTTAATTGAATTTGAAAGAATGCCCAACTGGAAATGAAATTTGACAGCTTCGAGTGTTTCTCCCAAAAATTTTTCCTCTATTATATAATTTTTACGACTTCATCCACAATCTTTATGAAAGCCCATGTGGATCACCCTGTATATTTAATTTCTCCTTTTGACTATGGCAAATTGAGTAATTTGGATTTAAAATCCAACTATTTCAGAAACTTTCTCAGAAATTGATGGTTTGGCTGAAAATTAATTTATTCAGTACTTCATTCAGTCAAACTATTCGAAGATTCTGATAATGAAATAACCAGCAGCATGTCAGTAAAACTATTGGGAGTTACTTTCGAAAGGTAGCTTCATAGCTGTTATAGTCTGAAATTTATGAAGAACCACTGCAGTCGGCACATACTAATCTCGTTGTACTATGCCAATTTCCATTCCCACATAAAGTACGGGATTTTGAATTGGGGCAATTGTGCTCATGTGAATAGAGTACTGGTTCTTATGAAGTATGCAATTCGAATTCTTGCTAGTGTCGATATGAGAACAAGTTGCAGAGCATATTTCAGAACTGCCAACATCCTAACCGTAGTTAGTTTATACATACTAGAAGTTTGTTTATACGTTTATAAAAATAAAAACATGTTTTTGAATACTGTTGAGAAGCACGATCATAATACACGCTTCAAAAGCCACCTCCAACCTGAGAGACACCGGACTACGTTGTACCAGAAAAGTTTTTATTATACTGGTTGTAAACTATATAACTCTCTTGATGAACAACTTAAGAGCTCCAAAAACTTGAATATATTTAACAAGAGGCTCAAACAACAGCTAATTCAAAAGGCCTGCTATACGCTGGATGAGTATTTTATGTAATTCTATGTAATGTTAGTAACGTGATGGATATATTGTATTTAATTGTGATGCTGCCGCATTGTTTGTTTGTTATATTTTTTCTTTTTTTTTTTTTTGACGTACTTTACTGTTTCATGTTATACATTTAACAGAAAATAAAAATTATTATTATTATTATTATTATTTACGAAAGCACTGTATATTGCTGATGAGACTGACTCTACCTTGTTCTGTCGAAATGCAGGCTAAGTCAGTCGTGATATTTATGTAGCAAATCTCATGGAAAATTTTATTACTTCTGGAAAGCGTTTCACACATCTCGAGCGCATTTAAATCCCATTAGATTCACAATGGGCCTCAGCTAATGTTGGAGAAAATTTATGAATTCAGAAATTGATATAAATATTGCATACAAAATATGGGGAGGACATAATGTGAGGTGGTAGCGTTTTTCATCCCAAATGGCACAACGGAAATATAAAAAAGGTATGAGCTGGTATGAGCTGATGAAGAATACGGTTTTTTCTGAGTTCCTGCAATTCACGAACGACCAACACAATCCATGCATAATGAGAGAGTTTTCCTTTAATGAATTTTCATCAAATTCGTTTTCAATACACTAGAGCAAGTTGAAAAGCAGAAGAATATTTCTGGGTGACAAACACAAACAATCAAATAATAAATGAAAAAATTGCAATGAGACGTCAATAAGAACCCAGCTATCTGAGTATCTGTGAAGTATGATGTGAACTGATTTCAGGTTAAACAAGGGTAAAATTGTGGGCGCGGTGGAGTTGGAATTTTAGTTTGATTCTATCAATTTCAAGGTCAAACTTCAATAATTGAGGCTTTCCTGGATATTATTAAAATATCGTCTGATCAAGCATCTGATGAAATTCTCGATAATTTTGTGAATAATTTCGTCCAAACATTTCGACTGATCAGCAAATTAGGATTACGAAAAATTTCATTTTACTTGTATACAAATGTTAAACCGCTATTACAATAAAGTTTCATTACATCAGTCAATACAGAATATCTGAATACCTATATCTAAGCATATAAGTGACCAATGACCAATGACGTCATCAGAATACAATGGTTTCTTAGAAATTTCACGAAGAAATAAAAATCTGAATATGAATTGGTTATTTCTGCATCGACTTGCAAAAGAAAATCATGAGAACCACCGTAACAATTTTTTCGAGAACTATCAAGACAGTTTTTGGATTGGTTTTGCACCACCCTGTATATCTTTCAACGTTGAATGCGACACCCTAACCACAAATTAACAAACCATTGTTAATCTGTGCCCTAACGGTCCAATATTTCGAACGTTGATTTTTTTACTCGGCCACTAGATTTATATTTTATTGTGGACGAACCTGTGTCGACTACGAAATACGCTATAAAGTTTATATCCCGGCCGTTAGAGGGCCCTTACCGCAAATCCGGCACACCTTATCTCGTCTTTTACGGACCCGGCCATGAGATGGCCGTAGAATGGCCTCTTGAAGGATCGTAGGCACACTTGACGGGAAATTAAACTGATTTTGACGAGATGTCCGGGACTCTTTTACGGCCGTCCCATTGATATCGGACATATCTTTGCCCTCGATATGATGGGCACTAAGATCTGTACCAATATCTATACAGGGTGTATCTGGATAACACCGAAAAAATTCAAGGGGGAATTCTTGTGAGATTTTAGGGAATAAAGTTCATATAAACATGTGTCCTAACATGCTTCGTTTTCGAGATACAGGGTATTAATATTTCCATGAAAAATCGTTTTTTATTCATTACGCAGTTGTCTTCTCATCAATTTCAATGAAACGTTGTGGTTTTGGTAATAGTAATATGGAGCTTCTTCTGGTGCAATTAGATTCGATTCGATTTCCAGTGGCGTCACAGTGGGTAACTTTATCGATATTTATGGTGAATGTCATTGTACGCCACCGGCTTTTACGAGTTTCATATTTTTATTAGATTGAACTATTGAAATAACAACTCTTTAATCCTTTGTGTAATTCTTGTATCTAGCTTAATTTTTGAGTAAACAATAAAAATTCCATTTGAATCCAAATTTAATTATACTGAGATTGAGATTACTCAATAACCCCAATTAGAATCATTGTGAAATTTTGGGGCTTTCTCAGTCTCCGATCATACTGAATTTTGGGACCATAAAAGCATATATAAAAAAACAATTAATACTTCCAACCTCAACATCCTGTATCTCAAAAACGGAGCAAGTTCAAGGAATCACCCCTTGAATTTCTTCGGTGTTATTTGGATAAACCCTGTATATAGCAAAGTGGCTCAATATTTTCGTTGTTTTTCTCTATGTTGCTTCGAATGACGTGTATTTTCCATTTCCTCTTTCGTTTCCTTATTTTCATTTTGCTTTTATAGTCTACTTAGTGGATTCAATAAAAATACTTTTGAAAAAATATTACATTGAAAAATAATGAGAGTCTTCATTTTGGTGGGGTATCCACATGGTCTCCAAAATCAAATTTCCTCCCTAAGAGGAAAAACAATCTTCGCTATATAAACGTTTGCTTTTGGATGAAATACTATGTTAACTATAAAATAGTTCTGCATCTTCATGTGAGTATGTCGAATATGTTGTCTTAAATATACCTAGCATATTGTATCATTTAATTGTAGGACAATTTTTCACCTTTTGGCTGATGATGGACACTATTGATGTCCGAAACATGTTGCCCTAATTCCTTTCAGGAAATGAAATAATAAATAATTAAACCTCCTGGTGAGAGGAAACCTTCATTTTTTCATTACACAATCATTACAATGTTGCGGAATCGATTCCTGGGTGTCATCATCGGTTGAGATTGATCACATGCACGGAACCTTTCAGCCCGAACGGAATAAAATAATACCGCCTCAGTCGACCACAGCCATAAATTATATGTGAGTTCGCGTGCATTTCCCGTCCGGCCCTGCATTTAGCGAGGGGTTGGACAGGGTGTGATGGCAATAGCCTCACGTTATGAGTGCTGGACATGCACTGCTCGCGAAAACCGTCAGCTGGCCCAGCAAAAGCGTTTTCTCACCTTCCAGGTGCCAAAACACTAAAGCTGCCCAAGAAGGGTCCAGCCTCCCTGGAAATTGCATCAATTCGATTATCATTTTACGATGGGGGAGATAATGACATATTTTGCAGCAACACAATTATTTTGGCCAATTTTTTTTTTCATTTAATTTTTGCAAAATCAACAAAATATAAGTATAATTCCAAATGAGCATGAAAGGCATGTTAATTAGCGCATGAACAAAATCACCAAGAGATTTTTATCCCGGTATAACCTTCAAACTCAACAAAATTCGTTTGGCGTGGTCTTAATCCCGCTTTGAAAGGAGCGCATCCCACTTCTGAAATTATGCAACGCGCAGAGGGTCGGCAATTGTTATGTGTTGATCAAGGAAGCGAAGATGGGCTATTACGGGGTAATTGTGGGGCGGCTATTGCTTTTTTAACCAAATACCCTGGGCGATAATGGCAGCCGATTACGCGGTGTCGGCTAGATTAATTCCGATGACGGTGTTATTGCAGCGCTACCTTCTTCGCTATTCGCGAAAGCTAATTTCGGATGAAGCAGACTAGGAATATCGTTTTTCCACTTCAATTTTCACCTTTATTCAATATCTTCTTGCATAAGTACTGTATGAGTATGTTATCAATGAGGAAAACAATGAATAGTAGGCGAATTATCGATTTGAACTGCTCGTGTCCAGCTTGCCTTCCGTTTAAGGTTCAATATTCCTCCTCCTCGCGGTCGAATAACCGATTGAAATAGAATCATCGCATAGATACCGGGAATAAGTAACGGCAACAAAAAACAAAATTTCGTCTCCGTAGCGCGATCCCTTGTATAGACTATACTTGTGGCTGCATATAATATCTGTTGCGGGTTTACCCTTAAACTGAGAGTACTTGAGGAAGGATAATTTGATCCAATCCCCATCGAGGTGCTTCCACTGTCGAGACCACTTAGTGTCGAGTACTCTTGAACCGTTTTTCGGTCGATGTCGAACTCCCAAAAATTATACCAGAGAAGCGTCAATCTCTGAGAATACGAGGCGGGTCAGAATGAGACCAAGAAACTTCCTATTCGGAATTGATTATTGTAATGGTGCGGTTAGTTACCAACTTATCTACGTCACCAAAAAAAATGTTTGTCACATTGATGATCAAATATCTGGAGAGCTCAGGAATCATCCATGATAGACAATACGGCTTTCACCACCGAAGATCTACGGAGATCTACTTGCCTACGTCACCCATTTATGGAAATCTTCAATAGAAAAACACGGGGAATCTCTAGCTGTCGCGTTGGACATATCGAAAGCATTCGACCGTGTTTGGCACGAAGAACTCCTCCACAAACTACCATCATACGGCTTACCACCTCAGCTATATGCCATCTCTCATCGAGTTTTCTTTCAGGCAGATCGCTTCACGTGGTGGTGGACGGTGTGTCGTCTGATACCATTGGCATCAATTCCGGCGTTCCACAAGGATCAATTTTGGCACCAACATTATTCCTGCTTCATAGCAATGATCTGTTGGGAGTAACAACTTGTCTCATCCACAGCTTTGCAGATGATAGTATCCTCCATACTGCGTTCTCTTCCAGAATCCCCATTTCTTCCCAGGAAACTAAGAACTCACGGCGCAGGCAGGTCAATGCTGTCAATGAAGATCTTGCTGAAATCACAGCCTGGGGAACAAACAACCTAGTTGAATTCAACGCCACCAAAACTCAAGCCTGCATTTTCTCTAGAAGGGCGGAACTCAGTATGCCCGATATTGTAATGTCTGGCTCCACCATCCCCACCAAGCCCACCATATCTATGCTCGGTATTTCCATCAGCAACACTCTTTCATGGGATAATCATGTCAGATCCATCGCAAAAGCTGCTTCACAAAAACTCGGATTCTTGTTCCGTGCGAAAAGCTACTTTACACCTCAACAGCGTCTCATGATCTACAAAGCGAAGATACGGCCTGTTCTGGAATACTGTTCCCACATATGGGGTTCAGCACCAAAACATACGCTGATGCTCTTAGATTACATCCAGAGAAGAGCCATTCGCCTGGTGGGTGACGCCACACTCACTCACTCTTTGACATCATTGGAACACCGTAGAAAGGTCGGCGACCTTTCACTTTTCTATCGATACTTCCACGGGAAATGTTCTTCGGAAATCTCTGCTATCATCCCTTCACTAGCAATACCAATCAAACGAACTAGACAAGCCCAGTCAGCACATCCTTTCGTTGTCAACCTCGAAAGATGGCGAACAGCACTTTATCAAGACTCCTTAATCCATAGAACGGCTAGGCTCTGGAATTCATTGCATGTGGAAGTATTCCCAACAACATATAATCTCCAAAAGTTAAAAAAAAATTCCAATACCTACCTCCTGTCCCTATCCTTCCTAGGAACGCACGATGTTCTTTGAACATTATAGGGATTCCCTTTCGTGCGCTCCAAGCGATAAAAAAAATGAACCTCAAACATCGTACACAACTAGATTCGTACACGAGTGTATACAGGGCTTGTTCAAATGGTAAAAATTGAAGCAACTTGTTGATTTCATCCGTGAATTTTCCTTGTGATTTTCCAACAATACATCGTGGTATCGCAAACCCTCCCATTCGGAGATCTAGTGAAGTGATATCAAGACGCACGCAAGTGAGTCTTTGTGGCACCCCTTGGGATAGTAGGAGGGTGTCAAACCGCGAGCCGCTCTCCAACGCTTCTGGGCTCTTTGTTGTATATATTCCCAACTACTTGAAAGTTGTTATCTGTCTCGTCTCAAGACGTCGAGGTCCTCCGACACCTCCTGCCTAATTTAACGCGAATAATACCCTCTTCTCCGGTTGATATGAACCGCTCCAAGCCAAAAATCAACTATATACAGGGTCCGTGAAATTTACGAATATACAGGGCGTTTCATTAGTATTGCACACAGTAAAAGTTCCTATTGAGTGAAGCCTTTCGTCAACATTAAAAATGTACAATTTGTTTCATCAGGAAATCGAATTTTGTTGAAGTTCTGTCAAAATTGTATACTTACATGATTTCTCGAACATTTTTCATATTTCTGAGACATTTTGTGTCAGTATAATTTGAAGGGTAGCTATAATATGATTACACAATCCGATATGGATCTGGATAGACAAAAAGTTGTGTGGACCTGGTGTTACAATCAACTCATGCAAAAATTTTCACCGTGCACAAAACTTCGGGGTCATATTCTTTGGGTCGAAATGAGAAAAAAAGTTCATACAAACATAATGCCCAAAAGCGATTCGTTTACGAGATACCTAGAGGATGTTAGGGTTTTCCAAAAAAATCACTGTTTTGTTAATTTCTAAAAAATGCCTGATGATAGTGATGAAATTCATAATGTTTCTTTTGAAATCTCAATGGGGTATTTTTTTGGACCTATTACAGTTGATAAAGTATGACTAGGAACATGCTCACAGGGCAGATCCAATAGTTTTTTGAACAAAAAATAGCACCCATGCAGTAGATTTTTTCGAATGTGTGTCATTTTTTCAATTGAACCAACTCAAAATATATCTTGTTTGGCTCTTGAGCCTTTTTCTTATCGAGCTTCGTTATATAGGAAAAAAAATCAAACCCATGCTTGCCTCTGAGCCCGTGGAGAGAAGAACAGTGATAATGAATAAAAGGTCCAAAAATATACAAGAGAGGTTCAATTTTTTTAGTTACAGTATGAATTAGAAGTTGATACGATTTTCTCTGAACATTACAAGATACCTCTTTTCGTGGGAACAAGAACATAAAAAAAGCATTTTTTGGAAATCAATGAAAAATCGATTTTCTTCAAGAAACCTCAACACCCTGTACCTTGGAAACACAATATCAAAAACAACAGAAATCACAGACTGAACTGCGGAATAGTAGAATTTGGCTGCCATAGTTTGTTTCAAACAATTTGGAACATTTCGTGTTACAGTGTTGAGATAATGTGACTCTTTTTTCCGATTTGAGATGGATAATGAATACTGAAGAATACCGGAGTATAACAGTCATTACGACTTATGGATTCTCATCGGAATCAAAAACATCTGAAGTTATAGAAATATTTATATATAATATACCTATAGGTAGTGAACAATATTATCACCATATGATCCCTGGGCATTTTTTACTATAGCATGGTGAATTTCCATTCAATCGTGTCTGACTTTATTATTTCAATATTTTCTAGTTTTCAAATCTTCTCTATTTTTGGAATCAAACAACTTCAAAGATCTAAGGTTACCGAGTAACTTCAATGAGCGTCTTGCTGATTCACTTTCACAGTTTGAATTTGTAAAAATTACCAATATTAAAATTTTTCGAAAATGAAAAATGTGTATCTAGAAACAGTTTTCTCACTGTGTAATAATGACAAGTAGGCCGTTGTGGCGTGTTCGTTTCTTGCGTCGACGACGACGCCGCCATGCACTTTGAATTTCAAATGAGATTCGGGAGGCCTGGCAGTTTTTTTTACGCTGCGATTGGAATTACAAAACGGGCATTCTTCCCCATTGTCGAGAGTCACTTCTGTTGTAATGGAAAATAACGCAGGAGCCATCTATTAACGCGGCAGGCAGAACATGATGGTGATCGGGTAAGCTATAGTCGCACTGCTGCAGCACAATCATTCCTCTTTCACGAATGCCGAATTTTTCGATGATTGTTATTGGACAACCTACTTTGAATCTATTTTTTTTTATTTGACTCGGACGTTACTTCTTGAATAGAAGTTTATCATCAAGAATAATATTCAAAATTATAGAACTTTAACCTATTTTGGATCATCAACTGAAAAATTAGCTTCATTTCTACATAAACAGGACTTGAAAGTAGCATATAGAACAAATAACACTTCTAAATTCGAAAAATCAGTGGTATACAAACTTAACTGTGGATCTTGTCCTATAAGGTATATATCGGTCAGACAGGTCGTACGTTTAATCAGCGCATTCATGAACATAAGACGAATATTTTGAAAAAGAAAACAAATTCAATATACGCCAACCATATATTTAAAAAAAACATAGTTTTGATGATAATTT